TTTGCTCTCCAGCTGGGAACAGCGGCAGCCAATCAGAGACCGGCACCCGACAGAGGGACCAATCACAGCCCGCCACCCTCCGGCATGGACCAATCAGCACCAGGCACCCGCAGAAAGGACCAATCACAGCGCAGCACCCTCACACAGGGCCCAATCACAGCATGCAACGCCCACCAACAACCAGCAGCCAATCAGGATGGAGCGGGTTTACAGCATCAGCCAATCAGAAAATACATGGTTTACAGCAACAGCCAATCAGGATGGAGATGGTTTAGGGCATCAGCCAATCAGGATGGAGAGGGCCTGATTCACCATTCTCCAACCAATGAGAATTCAGGTAGCCCAACTGAGCAGCCAATCAGGACTGAGATGGTTTGGCCCATCAGCCAATCAGGATTGAAAAGCCATGATCTGGCAGCCAATCAGCAGCAGGATTCACTGGGAAACTCAGCCCCCACCCATTGGCCAATCAGCAATAGGGAGACCCCACCCAGCAGCCAATCAGGAGAGTCTCGTCTTCCATTGGCCAATCAGGAATGCTCTGGCAGCTCTGTCCCCTTCTGGCAGCCAATCAACAAAGAGCTGCCCATGATGGACCAATCAGGAGGGGTGGGATCCAGCCAGGGACCAATCAGCAGAGTGAATCTGCCAGGGAGCCAACCAGCAGCAAGGATGCCCACCAGCCAATCGGGAGAGGGGATCCCCAGCAGGGAGCCAATCAGCAATCAAGAAACCCAGCCAGGGAGCCAATCAGGAAGCAGGGGGCCCATCCGAGGAGCCAATCAGCAGCCAGAGGACCCATCCAGGCAGCCAATCAGGGGTGGGGGGATCCATCCAGGGAATCAATCAGAAGCCAGGAGACCCATCCAGGCAGCCAATCAGCAATCAAGAAACCCAGCCAGGCAGCCAATCAGCAGCCAAGGGACCCATCAAGGTAGCCAATCAGCAGCCAAGAGACCCATCAAGGTAGCCAATCAGCAATCAAGAAACGCAGCCAGGGAGCCAATCAGCAGTGAGGGGACTCATCCAGGCAGCCAATCATCAATCAAGAAACCCATCCAGGGAGCCAATCAGCAGCGAGGGGGCCCATGCAGGCAGCCAATGGGCACTCACGTAGATGCTGGGCGTGGGCGGGTTCAGCTTGTCCCGGGGCAGCTGCTCCCGCGCGTCGATGCGCGGCTTCACCGACTGCGCGGGGCACAGGTAGGACTCGCGGAACGGCCCCTTGAGGCGCGCCTGCCTGCGGGGAGAGACCGGGGGACCCCAAAATCCCAAACATCCCCCCAAAATCCCAAAGATCCCCCTCGGAACGGCCCCTTGAGCCGCGCCTGCCTGCGGGGAGAGACCGGGGGACCCCAAAATCCCAAACATCCCCCCAAAATCCCAAAGATCCCCCTCGGAACGGCCCCTTGAGCCGCGCCTGCCTGCGGGGAGAGACCGGGGGACCCCAAAATCCCAAACATCCCCCCAAAATCCCAAAGATCCCCCTCGGAACGGCCCCTTGAGCCGCGCCTGCCTGCGGGGAGAGACCGGGGGACCCCAAAATCCCAAACATCCCCCCAAAATCCCAAAGATCCCCCTCGGAACGGCCCCTTGAGCCGCGCCTGCCTGCGGGGAGAGACCGGGGGACCCCAAAATCCCAAACATCCCCCCAAAATCCCAAAGATCCCCCTCGGAACGGCCCCTTGAGCCGCGCCTGCCTGCGGGGAGAGACCGGGGGACCCCAAAATCCCAAACATCCCCCCAAAATCCCAAAGATCCCCCTCGGAACGGCCCCTTGAGCCGCGCCTGCCTGCGGGGAGAGACCGGGGGACCCCAAAATCCCAAACATCCCCCCAAAATCCCAAAGATCCCCCTCGGAACGGCCCCTTGAGCCGCGCCTGCCTGCGGGGAGAGACCGGGGGACCCCAAAATCCCAAACATCCCCCCAAAATCCCAAAGATCCCCCTCGGAACGGCCCCTTGAGCCGCGCCTGCCTGCGGGGAGAGACCGGGGGACCCCAAAATCCCAAACATCCCCCCAAAATCCCAAAGATCCCCCTCGGAACGGCCCCTTGAGCCGCGCCTGCCTGCGGGGAGAGACCGGGGGACCCCAAAATCCCAAACATCCCCCCAAAATCCCAAAGATCCCCCTCGGAACGGCCCCTTGAGCCGCGCCTGCCTGCGGGGAGAGACCGGGGGACCCCAAAATCCCAAACATCCCCCCAAAATCCCAAAGATCCCCCTCGGAACGGCCCCTTGAGCCGCGCCTGCCTGCGGGGAGAGACCGGGGGACCCCAAAATCCCAAACATCCCCCCAAAATCCCAAAGATCCCCCTCGGAACGGCCCCTTGAGCCGCGCCTGCCTGCGGGGAGAGACCGGGGGACCCCAAAATCCCAAACATCCCCCCAAAATCCCAAAGATCCCCCTCGGAACGGCCCCTTGAGCCGCGCCTGCCTGCGGGGAGAGACCGGGGGACCCCAAAATCCCAAACATCCCCCCAAAATCCCAAAGATCCCCCTCGGAACGGCCCCTTGAGCCGCGCCTGCCTGCGGGGAGAGACCGGGGGACCCCAAAATCCCAAACATCCCCCCAAAATCCCAAAGATCCCCCTCGGAACGGCCCCTTGAGCCGCGCCTGCCTGCGGGGAGAGACCGGGGGACCCCAAAATCCCAAACATCCCCCCAAAATCCCAAAGATCCCCCTCGGAACGGCCCCTTGAGCCGCGCCTGCCTGCGGGGAGAGACCGGGGGACCCCAAAATCCCAAACATCCCCCCAAAATCCCAAAGATCCCCCTCGGAACGGCCCCTTGAGCCGCGCCTGCCTGCGGGGAGAGACCGGGGGACCCCAAAATCCCAAACATCCCCCCAAAATCCCAAAGATCCCCCTCGGAACGGCCCCTTGAGCCGCGCCTGCCTGCGGGGAGAGACCGGGGGACCCCAAAATCCCAAACATCCCCCCAAAATCCCAAAGATCCCCCTCGGAACGGCCCCTTGAGCCGCGCCTGCCTGCGGGGAGAGACCGGGGGACCCCAAAATCCCAAACATCCCCCCAAAATCCCAAAGATCCCCCTCGGAACGGCCCCTTGAGCCGCGCCTGCCTGCGGGGAGAGACCGGGGGACCCCAAAATCCCAAACATCCCCCCAAAATCCCAAAGATCCCCCTCGGAACGGCCCCTTGAGCCGCGCCTGCCTGCGGGGAGAGACCGGGGGACCCCAAAATCCCAAACATCCCCCCAAAATCCCAAAGATCCCCCTCGGAACGGCCCCTTGAGCCGCGCCTGCCTGCGGGGAGAGACCGGGGGACCCCAAAATCCCAAACATCCCCCCAAAATCCCAAAGATCCCCCTCGGAACGGCCCCTTGAGCCGCGCCTGCCTGCGGGGAGAGACCGGGGGACCCCAAAATCCCAAACATCCCCCCAAAATCCCAAAGATCCCCCTCGGAACGGCCCCTTGAGCCGCGCCTGCCTGCGGGGAGAGACCGGGGGACCCCAAAATCCCAAACATCCCCCCAAAATCCCAAAGATCCCCCTCGGAACGGCCCCTTGAGCCGCGCCTGCCTGCGGGGAGAGACCGGGGGACCCCAAAATCCCAAACATCCCCCCAAAATCCCAAAGATCCTCACCCCAGAACAGTCCAAACCCCCAGAATCACTCAAATCCTGCTACCCGCCCCCCAAATCCCCCCAAAATCCTTGAAATCCTCACCCTGGAACTGCCCAAACACCCAGAATCACCCAAATCCACCTGTGACCCCCCCCAAACCTCTGTGGGACCCCCTAAATCCTTCTGGGACCCCCAAAATGAGCCCTAAAACCCCCCAGAAGCCCCCAAATGAAGCCCAACTCACCCTGTGACCCCTAAATCCTCACCCTGGAACTGCCCAAACACCCAGAATCACCCAAATCCACCTGTGACCCCCCCCAAACCTCTGTGGGACCCCCTAAATCCTTCTGGGACCCCCAAAATGAGCCCTAAGACTCCCCAAACAAACCCCAAACCACCCTGTGACCCCCCCTAAACTTTCGTGGGACCCTCCAATCTCCCCTGTGACCCCCTTAAACCTCAATGGGACCCCCGAAACCCTTCTGGGACCCCCAAAATGAGCCCCCAAATACCCTGTAACTCCCCATGATCCCTCCAAAGAAGCCCCAAACCCCCCAGAAGCCCCCAAATAAAGCCCAAACCATCCTGTGACTCCCCTAAACCTCCATGGGACCCCCCAACCCCTCCTGGCTCCCCCCAAAACCACCCCAAAGACCCCCCCCGGAGCCCCCCACTCACTTGCTGGCCCGCACCACCTCGGCGGCGCTGTGCCGGATCGTCAGCTGAGCCAGGGGCAGCCCCCGGGGCTCGGCCACCTCCGAGGCCACCAAAGCGTCACCGCCGGGCGTCCCCCCGAGCCCGGGGATCCCCCCGGGCCCCCCGGCTCCGCTCTCCACCTTGATCAGGCGGATCTTGAGCTCCTTGGGGGGCCCCTCGCCCAGCGAGCGCAGCTTCAGCAGGTCGGCCGAGCTGACGAAGGCGGGCGGGGGTCCCGCGGGGGCGGCGGGGGCTGGG